CTAGTTGTCAACAAACGAATTCTCAATTTCAGAGCCAATTTCAACTTCACAACGAAGGATATTGGACTCCAGACAACGCAAGCTCAACTTCACGACGAAGGGACCGCTGGTTGTCAATAAACAATTTCCCAATTTCAGAGCTAATTTCAACTTCACAGCGAAGGATATTGGACTCAAGACAACGCAAGTTCAACTTCACGACGAAGGGGCCGCTGGTTGTCAATAAACAATTTCTCAATTTCAGAGCCAATTTCAACTTCACAGCGAAGGATATTGGACTCCAGACAACGCAAGTTCAACTTCACAACAAAGGGACCGCTGGTTGTCAACAAACGACTTCTCAATTTCAGAGCCAATTTCAACTTCACAACGAAGGATATTGGACTCCAGACAACGCAAGTTCAACTTCACGACGAAGGGACCGCTGGTTGTCAATAAACAATTTCCCAATTTCAGAGCCAATTTCAACTTCACAGCGAAAGATATTGGACTCCAGACAACGCAAGTTCAACTTTACGACGAAGGGACCGCTGGTTGTCAATAAATAACTTCCCAATTTCAGAGCCAATTTCAACTTCACAACGAAGGATATTGGACTCCAGACAACGCAAGTTCAACTTCACGACGAAGGGACCGCTGGTTGTTAACAAACAACTTCTCAATTTCAGAGCCAATTTCAACTTTACAACGAAGGATATTGGACTCCAGACAACGCAAGTTCAACTTCACAATGAAGGGACCGCTGGTTGTCAATAAACAATTTCCCAATTTCAGAGCCAATTTCAACTTCACAGCGTAGGATATTGGACTCTAGACAACGCAAGTTCAACTTCACGACGAAGGGACCGCTGGTTGTCAATAAATAACTTCCCAATTTCAGAGCCAATTTCAACTTCACAGCGAAGGATATTGGACTCCAGACAACGCAAGTTCAACTTCACTACGAAGGGACCGCTGGTTGTCAACAAATAACTTCTCAATTTCAGAGCCAATTTCAACTTCACAACGAAAGATATTGGACTCCAGACAACGCAAGTTCAACTTCACGACGAAGGGACCGCTGGTTGTCAACAAACAATTTCCCAATTTCAAAGCCAATTTCAACTTCACAGCGAAGGATATTGGACTCAAGACAACGCAAGTTTACCTTCACGACGAATGGACCACTGGTTGTCAACAAACAACTTCCCAATTTCAGAGCCAATTTCAACTTCACAGCGAAGGATATTGGACTCCAGACAACGCAAGTTCAACTTCACGATGAAGGGATCGCTGGTTGTCAACAAACAACTTCTCAATTTTAGAGCCAATTTCAACTTCACAACGAAGGATATTGGACTCCAGACAACGCAAGTTCAATTTCACGACGAATGGACCACTGGTTGTCAATAAACAATTTCCCAATTTCAGAGCCAATTTCAACTTCACAGCGTAGGATATTGGACTCAAGACAACGCAAGTTCAACTTCACGACGAAGGGACTGCTGGTTGTCAATAAACAACTTCCCAATTTCAGAGCCAATTTCAACTTCTCAGCGAAGGATCTTGGACCCAATACAACACAAGCTCAACTTCACGACGAAGGGGCGGCTGATTGTCAATAAAATTTCATTCAGAGTCAATTTCAACTTCACAGCAAATGATATTGGACTCGAGACAACACAAGTTCAACTTCACAACGAAGGGACGGCTGGTTGTCAACAAATAATTTCCCGGTTCCAGAGCCAATTTCAACTTCACAACGGAGGATATTGGACTCAGAACAATGCTACTTACTTGGATTTCAACTTCACGACAAAGGATATCCAATTTCAGGCTCAACTTCATGACGAAGTGACCACCCGCGGTTTCAACTTCACGACGAAAGGAATCGTGCACACAAGCATCATCCATCTTTAGATTGGATTTCAACTTCACGATGAAGGATATCCAACTCAAAGAAGGAGTATCTGTCAACAAAGACCTTCGAGTTCGACTACGCTCAGCTACAAGGCACATCATTTACAGCAAAACTCAAGGCTAGAAGGGTTATCTGCCATCAAAATTATCGAGTTCGATTCCATTCAGCTCGATGACACATCAATCGTACTACTTTCCAGTTACAGTCGAGGTTTTCAAGTCGAGAAGAGGACCTAGGTTAACCGTGCTTTAGTGACAAGCAACCATTTTCAAGCAAAAGCTATCTGTCAATAAAGATTTCTCAGTTCGATTCCGATCCAAGGTCTTTAAACCGAGAAGAAGATTGAAGGGCAACAAGAAGCCACGTGCTGATTCAAATTCCGAACTACGGCTTCAATTTCATATCATTTCAAGATGAACTCGGCTTCACGACGGAGGAGTCATTCGTAACTCAATTCAACAGGGAGTTATTGAAACATCAGAGTCAATTTTTAACTCCACCGAACGAAAAGTGTATCTTTTAATCTTTGCCTTATCCCCGTTACACGACTATGGGCAAAGAGGGGCAGCTGTAAACACACCTTTTCGTCCTACTATGATTCAAACTCCTAAAAATAGGATAGAGTTCTACTATAATTTAAACTCCTAAAGATAGGATCCACAAGCACTATAAATAGCCATTGTAACTCATTATTATAAGAGACGATTTACAGACAAAATACAGAGGAAAACACGAAAAATACAAAGGCAAAGCTATTATAAACGATTCGAAAAGGAAATAAAAGGTAGCATTTTTTTTGATTCGTTCATTTCTCGCATGTGCACGTTATTTTTTTGAGATTTGGTTCGAATAACCCAAAACGTGGGTTGCGCCGATGACCAAAAATGGGTGGGGTTTCGAAGTTTCGAACCTAGATCTATCCCGAGGCGTGTTCATTTTTTATCCCCTAATACGTAATATCAACGTTAATTGTCTTTCAAATTTGGCCCCAATCTTTATTTTTCTTTATATTAGTCCTTTTATTTATTGTATAGATATTTTTATTTATTTATTATTTACATTATTGTCATTATATAAATATATATACGTAAGTTCTTTTAAATGATTTTCAATTGATTTTTTTACACTATATATTATTATTATCTATACATATATTTTTTATTTATTTATATTCATTTGGTTATTTTTTAATACTATATTTATTATTTATATATATATATATATACTTTTTTTTTAAATATTTTACTTACAAGCGTATTATTACTATATATATGTATATATATTGTAATTATCTTTATTTAATTTTTTTTCACTTTATGATTATACATATATATGTATGTTTTAAATAGTTTATTTATAAGCCAATTATCATTATATGTATACTTTTATATTTGGTTTATATATTTATTTATTTTTGTTTTATGGTTTTTTTATATTATATTATATTTTCATATGACTATTATTATTGTTATGATTATTATTTTTCTATTTTACTCATTTATATATATATATATATATTAATATTTCATTTATTTATTTATTTATTTTTCCTTTTATTTTATTTTTTACTTATTTTTATTCTTCATTTTTTTCATTTATTCATTTTTTTCCCTCTGACACATCTTATGACTTTTTAAGGGTATTTTCGTCAATTAATCAGAGGTAAGTAATTCATTATCAAATTTTACCTTTTAATTTAAAATTACAATTTTCTTAATTAAGACAACGGGAAATTACGTAGTACCGAAAGGGCGGTTCAAAGGTGTTAATCCTTCCTTGACCGTAACCGACTCATATTTTTGGTAAAACGCAGATCAGGTAAGAAATATGGTATTCGATCAACCCATTTTTTTTTAAATAAATGATCGGTGGTGACTCTCAATCCATATTTTTCAAGTCGAAGCCCAATCCCGGGGCCTAACTGAAATACGGTTGCGACAATAAGTTTTCAGTTATAGTGAAGTAATTCTCAATCAATATAACGGTGCTTCAATAGATATTACGTAAGAATTGAATTGTTGAACATTTCATGGTGGTGCTTCAATAGATATTTGGTTTTAATAAGAACTGAAGTTGATGTAGATTTGATGATCAATTTTTTTGTCATGGTGAGATCATTAGATATTGACTCAAATTATAATTAAAAATTAAATTGTATTTTGTTGTAATTCTATTAGTTGAATATTACTTTGTGACTAGGTTTATTTAATTAAGTTGTATTTTGCTCTATAAATAAATGATATGTCTTAGCCTTTATAATCATGAGAGAGAATTATTCTATAGAGATGCAATATTTTTTGCGATCTTAACTTTTGAAGTTTATGTTGGAGAGATGATTTTGTAGAGATGTTGAGAGTGTGTTTAGAGATAAACGGAGTTTTGATATATATATATATATATATATATATATATATATTGGGTCTTGAGGTACATGTGATATCATGTATTTGTACTATTCGTGGTCTCTACGTATATAACGAAATATTGTTCTTCTCATTCATGATCCATAGAGAAAGACAAGGCTAAACACGTAAAATTTTATCTCTTGCTCGTGTCTTATTTTATATTGATATTGCTTTGATTATATTTTACCAAACGAATTCCTAACACAATATTAAAATATTAATAGGTTGAAAAGTATAAAAATATTAGACTAGTACATAAAAATCCTTTTCCATAACTGTTTTATAAATCCTTTCCCATAAATATAATAGAATGATTATTTTCTATGTTTTTTTAAATGTATTTTTTTTATAAAAATCAACATTCGATTTAATCGTAGTAAAAAAATATAATTTAGTAATGACCCAAAAAAAGAAAATAGAATTAAAAAGGAGGTTATGGCAATGGAAACCAACCTTTTCACATGGTTTTATCTCTTCCACCCATAATTAAGGAGTTGGTGCTATCTGGTTAATGGTAAATATAGCATGGCTCATGTGCATGTTCAATAACAAAATTAACAATTTAACACATTTCCGATGACTTTTGCTCTGTTCTCGATTCTCGAACTCGTCATTGATATATGCTCCTTTGCATTGACTCGACTATGATCATGTTCACGTCCATTCGACTTTAATAAAATTCGCCGTCAGCGAATATGGCATCTTCTCAGCTGGAGATTGTTGCCTCTTCGACTTTCGGTTGTGTCGTAAATTATCACAACTGTAAAGAACGATGCAGAGACAACAATGTGAAAAGTGTGTTCCACAAGAATTTCAACGACTTGGTTCGAGATCACATCAATGGCTGCATATCTATGCCTTCCCCTCAAGGTCCACAAAATCACCACGTCAACAACGTGAAAAACGACGACCCTTCTGCTTCGACGATCCCCTCGAGGCCGCCTCCGATTCTCGATAGGTGGGTGACTAGGAAGTCCCAATATGTGGCGCAATCCAACACCAACAAACGTGTAAATGAAGTTGCAGAACCATTGTTGACTCCTTCACAATCATATTCAAACACTGCAACATCACCGATGCCACCGCCTTCTTCGTGTAGCAGGACTTTCGGCGCTTGGGAAACCGAAAGAGTGAGAATTGTGGATATCATCAAGAAATTGAAAAATGGTGATGAACATGAGCATAGTAATAACGAATACATGCATTGTTTCTCAATGGTCAGAAACACGCCCCTACTAAGAGGGCGACAAGCAGTCCATGATTTGCTCGTACAGATAGAGCGAGACAAGAAAAGAGAGTTGGCTTCACTAGTGCAACGCCATGCAGTTTCTAAATTTCAACAGCGTGGTCGTCTTCAGGTGTATATATTTCATAATAAGAAAATTAGCCCTTAATATCTGTTTAAATAATTTATATATTTTTTAGTATTTTAACTCCTAATGTGTTTAATTTGTGATATGGTATATGCCATATCATTACTTCGAGGGACGTGAAACATATCACATCATCATTTTTGATGGCGTAATATGTGTTATGTCTAATTAAGTATACGTAAAAAAATCACGCTAGCGATATGTATTGATCATTAATTAACTAATAATTTTCATATAATAAGGGTTATTTTGACATCATCATTTTGGATGACATGATATATGTCATATCATTACTTTTAATGTAATGTGTGTTATCTCAACAATTAACTATATATAAAAATGTCAAGTTAGTAATATGTATTGGTCATTAGTCAATTAACGATTTTCATTTAACATATATTATTTTAAGAAAAGAATTAAAACTTTATGGTTAAAATATTCTAAAAAATAATAAGAACCAAAGTAACTATTTGATTAAAACCTAATTTTTTCATTATGTTTTTTTAGAATATTCATTTATTTGTTTGTACATTCACTCCAACTGATCATGTGATTGTTACTGTTGGCTTTATGCTTCCATTCTCACAGTCAATGCTACGGCTTAGAAGTCTACAACGCTGTCGCACAATTCAAGATTCATGTCGTCCACAATTACTGCGGGCTCAGCTGAATCGACTCCCACAAGAGTCCTCCGCTATGCATCTCAGGTATCACTTTATACAAATGCATCCTTTCGGACACGGACTCAGGATTTTATATTAGGAACGAAGTTAAAAAGATTTAGGGAATGAACTTATAATTAATACGTCTGAAATTTAACTAATTCAAGGGAGAAGTTTAGAACTGGTGCTGAGCGTCTCATGGCACAGCAGAATGTTTTAGCTGCTTGGAGATGCTTTCAAAAGGACAAAAATTCCACCGGCAAACCCCAGGAAAGGGAAGATACTCATTGCCTAAACGTGGACCGGAGTTCATGGCCGGTTAAACGTTTGAAAACAAACAAAAATGAACATGCCAAGCCATTTTCAGATGCCATACAACAGAAGACAAGCCTGGATGCAAGGTGTTCTCAATCACCAATAACTGCAAGATGTTCTCAATCACCAAAAACTGAAAGATGCTCTGAATCACCAAGAATTGCAAGATGCTCTGAATCACCAAAAATTGCAAAGCCAAGGACATCCTTGAAGGGTAAATCTATGAATGAGGTGTCCTTAAAGCAAGAGTCCAACACCCAACAACATCTCTTCCATGGCTCACAAGAAATTGTAACTCGAAATGAGGTTGCAAAAGCAGACCAGGTGAAGGACCAGCATCATCTTAGTCTTGAATCGCAAGGAACCATGGAACCATGCGATGATCATCATCTGCATCTCGGGCTAGAGTCTCAGTGTCAGGATACCATAGAGAATGAGATTGGTGAAGAAGAGGGCGACGATCATCACCAGCATCTCGGGCTAGAGTCTAAGTCTCATAATACTGTAGAGAATAAGATTGGTGTAGAAGAAATCGATGATCGTCATCAGCATCTCGGGCTAGATTCTCAGTCTCAGGATACTATAGAGAATGAGATTGGTGAAGAAGAGGGCGACGGTAATCGGCAACATCTCGAGCTAGACACTGAGTCTCACGATACTTTAGAGAAGTCATCAACATGCTACATCAATGACAGCAACGAGAATGAGGCACCAGAAGAGGAGGATGATCACAACCAACAATATTTTGAAGAAAGTAATGATTATGACTGGTTCAGTAACATATCTCGGCCTAAAAGTTATTGGGAAAGCTTAAGGAAAGCATGGTACCATGAAGTGCTTAACACAGCCCCAAAAAATGAAGATATACGTGAGCTAGTGAAAAGGTAATATGATATTCACATATTCACCTGGTTTAGTAATACAAAATTTCCAATTTCCTTGCTCATGAATTGCAGGGGAAGAGTGTCAACTTTACTCGTAAGCGATTTTCGAGAGAGCATGGACCAGTTGTTGACTTGCCGTATACAAATACAAACAGATTTAGCTGAAAATCAACAAGATGTTGAGGATATGGATGGAACGATATCTAGGAGAAGAGTTTCGAATTTACTTTGTAGTGATTTTTTAGAGAGAATGAAACGATTAGTGACTTCTCGTGCACAAGTTCAAGCAGATGGAGCTGAATGCAGTCAGCAAGAGGTTGAGGGTAAGGAAGAATCAATCCAACCGATGTGTTGCCTGCAGACTAATTTTCATCCGGAAGGTGATCAGGGTGAAGAACAAGAATATGACGACGACGATGATGACCAAGACGAAGAAGAAAGTAGCTCAAGCAGCCATCAATGTCATGAAGCCAATAACTTCTCCCATCATTGCTCATCATCTTTGCAGATGCCTTCACCGGATGTTATGGCGATGAGGTCATGGAGTTCTCAAGATGATAACGAAACTGGGAAAGATTATGAACGTGGTGCATCTGAATTTTCACCTCCACCCCAACAATCTCAAGCTCAGTGTTTTCAGGATGCTAGTCAGTCGTCTTCTTCCACGAATCGTCCCTCACTCGTGAGTTGTTTTGGATATTTAATTTATGTTGGAAAAGAATTATTTGTCAACTCACTGATATGTTTTGCATTAATCGATGTATAATACAGGAAATGGAACTCATATATGAGTTAAGAGGGCATATAGAGCAACTTCACCGTGAGATGAGTGAGCTAAGAAAATCATTTCTGAGCTGCATGGACATGCAGATGAAAATGCAACAATATTCCTTCGATCGGAAAGTTCATTCGGGTGAGACTTCACTATTTGATGATATGTTAAGAATTAGTACGTGAAAAACAAAAAATGTGAAATTAACGTAGAAATAAAACATGTACAAGTGACGATATTTAACATTGTTCGATCTTATCTACCTCAGATGAGAAGAACAATAACCTATAATAAATGTAAATATCACGAAAAGTATAAATATGTGACATATATTTCATGTATATCAAAATCCAGTATAAATATTAGAAACTGGTGTATCTCAAAACACTATCTCGATATCCTTACAAAATTCATATCGGTAAGGTAAACCTAAAAGCTACATAGACTACAAAAATGATGAAATCTCTCCAAAATTCTCTTTCATAATTTTATTTAGGCATAATGCCAAAATTAGCCCCCCAATGTTTATCAAAATGGTCATTTTATCTCATATTCTATTTTTTGGAGCATTTTGGCCCTCTAAGTTTTATTTTAGGACAAAAATGCTCCTAACATTTTACATAATATTCACTTTGTCCCTTATCCTTTTTTTTGGAACATTTTAGCCCTTAATGTTTCATTTAAGTTAAAAAATCTCATATTTTGGAGCGTTAATCGTGTGTTAACTAATGATTTTCATTTATAGAGGGAGCTTTTTGCCTATATTCTAAAAAAATATGAGCCAAAATGACCATTTTAGTAAATAACAAAGGCCATTTTTGGTATTATGCCTTTTATTTATAGAGCAAAATATTTAGTCACCAAGAATCCTAATTCTATACGAATTTTTACTTAAATAAATTCAATAATCAAGTAACCTTTAACCATTAGAATTATAACAAAATTTAACTTAATATTTAGTTAGAATTTGAGTCAATATCTAACATGATAGTTATTAGTAATTTCCTTTATATTACCATGTTTATGTTCTTACATACATAATCTAAGTGGGACGTTCACTCAGTTCTGATGATTAAATACTTATAATGATACAGTTGAAGAGGAAGTAAAAAATTCAACAGATAAATTATCATGGAAACGCACTTGTTGCGTTTGCTACGAAATGCAGGTGGACTCATTATTGTACAGGTAAATATGTTAAAATTTATATAAAGTCCAAATCAAACTTAGCATGCAGTGTTCCTCAATTCTTTATACCAAATATGGAGATGGGCATGGCCAAAAATGTTATAAAAAGGTATAACATTTAATGTTAGATGTAAACTAAGATGTTACATTCTTCGTAATGTTTTCGGTTGAACTTAAAATGTTATCTTCTTCATAACATTTTCGTTAGAAAATGTTACATTCTTCATAATATTTTATGTTCAGCCAAAAATGTTATGAAGAATGTAACATTTTTAGGTTGTGCTCAACCTAAAATATTAGACTTTTTTGATAATATTTTCGGTTGCGTTTATTTCCATCGTTTTATAACCTTCAATTAGGTTATCTTTTTTTAACCTTTCCCGAATACCAAATATATTAAGCATTAAATTAGGTTTTGTGTTTAATTTCAGATGTGGACACATGTGCACCTGTTTGAAATGTGGGAATGAATTGCAAAAGTGCCCACTATGCCAAGCTTCAATCCTAGATGTTGTTCCATTTAAGTATTGATGCACCTCATCGAGTTATTGTTAGGGATGCACCGAGAGAAGGTTGACAGAGACGATTGTCCTTTGAGAATTTCAAATTCTTATATAATTTAGATTTTTTTTATATTTTATATTGATAATTTGTTTTCGTCTCTCTAAAATTTTATAAGTTCACTTCTCTATCATAAAATCTTGCGTCCGATGTTGATTCTTTTCCCAAACAACTGTTGTGGTCTACATTAATTCTAAGTCAACGCTTTCTTCAAATTAATGCAGCACATTCATTGATTTCCTTTTCTTCTTTTTCTCTTTGTTTTGAATGAATGAATTTTAGAAGTTTAAATAATTCTAAGTTGAATTGATTACTATACTACAAGTATTATATAAATCTCAAAATGTGAAATGGAGATTGCTATGTAGTCTTATTGTTTCGTATATGTTCAACTTAGCAAGATTTTAGAGAAAATAATTTGTATGGACCGACAAAAAATGAACTGAATTTGTCAATATATCCACAATAATCCATATTGAATCTTTTTTTTTTTGTTGGTGTTAAAAGCAACTCAATCACAAAATTCATAATCATATGATATCACTCAAAAGCAACTCTGTCACAAAATTCATAATCATATGATATCACTTCTATTATGGGATCCTGATCGGTTGTATAATGCACCGAAATCTTGTCTAAAAGTTTTGTTTAAGTAATTCGGGCTTTGAAATTAATAAATTTTGGAATTATGGACTTAGTTTAAAGAAATGAAAAATTGAAAGGATTTAATTGAGTTAAATTATGAAGTTTAGAGGATTAAATTGAACAAAATCTAAATCTGGTGGTTTAATTGAAAGATTTTATGAGCTTAAGAACTATAATGAATGCTGGTGAATCGTGAGAGTCTATTTTGAAAACTCGAGGATTCTACAAGGGTACATTTTCAAATTCCTCAAAAATATTTGTTTTAAGTTAAAAAGGGTAAAGTACACATATAGTCCCCCGACTATAGAATACTACTTTGTTGAGTCATCCGATTATTAAAAGTTATAAAATAGTCCCTCGACTATAGTTTGTTGCTTTGTTAAGTCCCTCGACTATTAAAAGTCACAAAATGGTCACTCTGTAATACCCCAAATATCATGTCATAGACTTTCTTGAAAAGAATTAAAATTTGAAGATTCATTTGAATAAATGATAAAAAATGAGAAAATGATTTGGAATAGTGTTTTAGACTAATTTATAGCAATAGATGAATTAAAAGGGCATTTTGGTCCTTTAGGGGGGAAATGATTTAAAATATATTTCCTTATTAGGGATTGTTAATAAGGGAAAGAGAAAAATTAAGTCATCAAAGCTATCTCTTTTTCTTCTTCCCCGTGTAAGGCTCTCCTCCATAGCCAAATGTAAGGTTTCATTTGGCTAGTTTTTCCTTTCGTTTTTTGTTGGTTTTTGAATCATTGAGTATTATAGAGGCTTAAGGAAGGTTAAATAGGATTAAAACTAAGAGATGGATGGATTATTTGAGATTTAAGAAATGGGTTTTTGAATGATATGTTGGAATATGAGTTTTTACTAATGTTTATTAGTATATTTGACTTGTCAAAGAAGTAAATAAGAGATTAGAAGCCTTGGATATGATTAAAAACATGTTAGAAAAAGTGGTATGATTCTTGGTTTGAGATGTTCTTTGGATATTTTAGATGTTATAAGAAGCTAAATGAAAGGAAGTTAGTTGGGATAAGTAAAGAAGAGTTTAATAGTATTGTTGGGGGTAAACATAAGGGAATTTGACCAGATTTGGGTAAAAATAGGGCTGAAAAATGGAAAATATGGGTAAGGGTATCGATACTATAAGAACAATACCGATACTATAGGTATAAATTTAGGAAAATATGATGAACGATATCGATACTAATGTAATTAATATCGATACTGATGTGAGTATCGATACTAAGAAGAGAAAGGTATCGATACCATGGATCCAGAATATAGAAATGATATCAATACTGAAAGGGAGTATCGATATCATTGTAGGGGTGTCAATACTATTGAGCCATGAATTATAAGATATGATGAAATTGTTATAAAAATTTAAATAATAGTACTTGTGAGTATTATTAAAGTATAAATGTTAGGGAATATATTAACATTGGGTATGGTATGTGTCTTTAATGGATGCTTGGGTAGATCGTAATCAAGCTTGTGAGTATTATTAAAGTATAAATGTTAGGGAATAATAGTACTTCTGATTTGCATTTTGGAGATAATAGCGAGGCAGGCCAAGTGAGTGCATTTATTATGTGCTTATGTGTTATGATAGTCATAGATGCATGATGTTTAAGGTATATATTGTAATTATCGAATGGGCACTATGTGCGCAACTAAAGAAATTCATAATAAGTTTATGAATTTCCGTATTGGCACTATGTGTGCAACCCCACGTAATTCTTAATAAGTTTGTGAATTACCGTATTGGCATTACGTGTGCAAATTATAGAGTTATAATGAATTGAAAGAGCTAATTGATATTATGAATAATTATTAGAGTAGAAATTGTACTAAAATGAAAGATTAACTGCCTAACTGTGCTTTTTGGTAGAAAGGTTTCAATAATGCAAGTTAGATGAAAGGTTAAATTCCTTTGAGATGAAAGACTAAATGCATAACGGTGAATTAAAGGCATGAAAGGATGCCATAAATGAAATGCATAACGGTGCATTAAATGCATAAAAGGATGCCATAAATGAAATGCATAACGGTGTATTAAAGGCATGAAAGGATGTCATAAATGAAATGCATAACGGTGCATTAAAAGCATGAAAGGATGTCATAAATGAAATACATAACGGTGCATTAAAGGCATGAAAGGATGTCATAAATAAAATGCATAACGGTGCATTAAAGTCATGAAAGTATGCCATAAATGAAATGCATAACGGTGTATTAAAGACATGAAATGATACCATAAATGAAATGCATAACGGTGCATTAAAGGCATAAAAGGATGCCATAAATGAAATGCATAATGATGCATTAAACGCATGAAAGAATGCCATAAATAAAATGCACAATGGTGCATTATAGGCATGAAAGAATGCCATAAAAGAAATGCATAACGGTGCATTATAGGCATGAAAGAATGCCATAAAAGAAATTCATAACGGTGTATTAAAGGCATGAAAAGATGCCATAAATGAAAATAATGAATAATTATTAAAGAATAAAGGGAAAAGTGTACAGAAAGAAATGTATCTGGACATACTAAGAATGTTTACGATGATAGTATGAAAGAAGTTTGGTATTAATAATAAGGACTTATCTAATCCTTATGGATGATACGAATTAGTTCGAAACTAAATAACCATGATATACTTATGTATACATTAATGTTTCTTTACAATATTATGTCTCACTAAGTAAATACTTAACGTATGTTGATTTCACGCGTAGGTAAAAGCAAAGACTAGTCGGGTACGGGGTGCAGTAGCAACTATCATCAATATAAGGTTGACTCTCATCAGTAACAGTAGGACAATCATGTTTATGTTGAAAATTTCATGGCATGTAATCGAAACTAAGAAAAATATTTTGGGAATGTATTTAAAGTGATAACTTTGGTAATATGTTTCAACGACTGTTTTATTGTTGTACTAAAATGTTTTGGTTTTAAATTTTGAAATAATTTTTTATGGGTTTTACAAATGGATGAATGTTTTTAAAAGTCATCTGACACCTTTGACTTGCGTACGGAAATGTATACTGGAAATGGGTGATACACACTCGACTATTCATTTTGCTCCAAACTCGTCCTTTTTTATTTAATAATTAATGGTCGTCTGAGCTGAACGTGAACGTGCTGATTGAGATATGATAGTCGTTTGAGATTATGAGATCAAATTTTATCATATCTCAGTTAGCAGGGTTAATGTCCTTCTTAGACTACCGTCAAATTTTTAACAAAAAATGACGAGTTTGAAACATAATGAATAGTCGGGTGATCGTTTTGTAAGTTTTAATAGTAGAGGAACTCAACAAAGTAACACCTTATAGTTAGGAGACCATTCTATAACTTTTAGTTCTAAGGGACTCAACAAAGTAATATCTTATACTCGAGAGATCATTTGTATGCTTTACCCAAAAAATTATTTTTTTTATTTTTTTTCCTCAAAAGTGCTTTTTGAAGCAAAAGGACTTTTGGGGAAAAAAAACAACGTAGAACATGATTTAGCATTGTTTTTCAAAAGTTCGGTGAAAAATACTTTTAAAAACTTTATTTAGATTAGTTAAATTAAGGGTTTGAAGTTGATATTAAAAATAACTTTTAAATAGATAAAATATCTATTTTGGACATTGTTTTTAAAAATATAAAAGTATTAGTGATATAAATAATGCCAAATAATTAATTTTGTTCAAAAGTGCATTTGAAAAAGTTAAAATATTAAGGTTTTGAAAGCTGTCGAAACGGTCCCCGTCGGCTATTTAGGGCTTTTTCGAGGATTGATCCAACTTAATATTGGGACATGTCGGATTTTAAAATGAATACATAAATAGACAAATTTGTAGTCGCCATCGACTTTTGGGTTAGGTAAGTCGAATACCTAAAAAATATCTTTTAAAATAATTTTAAGAAAAATAATTTTAAAAGATAAGAAATTGATCTACGATTGACCAGAGATTCATTTTGAAAAGGGTTTGGGAGTCGGTTACGTGTGGGGAAGGATTAACACCCCACAATGCCCAAAATTGGTACTTACACGATTATACGTCATATAATTATTAAGATTGGCAAATTCGAATAATATTTAAATTATGATACTTAAAAATAAAAATGGGATATTATTTTATACGAATAATCCTTAGAAACACACTCCTTGTTAGTTAAAGCGTGTTTCTATAAATTCCTCGTGTAAAATAACATTTAAAAATATTATAATTAACAAATATTAACAAATATGTAAATACTGGATTAAAATAATAACTATGATAAATTTAGGGATTAATTAATAAAA